TATAGCAGAAAGAAAAATGAGCAAAATAACACAATTTTCCAAAAGGAAATATGATAGTGGAAGGAATATTTTTCTCAAGGTCATCAATATTTTTTTAAATGGAACCATATGTTTTGTTTAGTGCTTGAACTAAAGAGAAATTAAAAACAAAAATCAATGGTATGTATTTACATTGTATGCCTAACACACTGCGAGATATTTGATGTGAAAGATATATAGAAATAAATGCTTAAGAAATATTTATTTGAATGTACATCCTAACTTTGCTACTTTGTATATTTGACACATTATTCAAGTAATATCTATAATATAATCATGTCTACACAAGAGATTATATTCATGATTAAAAGTGATTTATTGTTTAAAATCATAATAATGTGAAGTAACATATTTAGCTTCTTTTGATTACTTGTTAAATGATCGATGACGATAACATTCATGTTAATAATGACATAATTTATAGTAAACACTACTTCATATACATATGTATTAATTTTCATTATTATTGTTGTTATACGTCTAAATATGCTAAACGTATAAAATATTAATAGTTTCTTTAAATTTGTAAATTTTTAAAGCTTTACATTTTCTTCTTTTTTTTTCGAATTTTTCCGGACTATAAATGTGTTGTAGGTCTTGTCTCATATATTATTTCGCGATGTGTCTAAATATATAAATAAGTTAATACTTTCTTTTTCTTTTTTATTGTAATGTTAGAGATTTGAATAAAGGCATTAATAATTTAGAAAAACATGGAACGAACGACCTTGAGAAAAATACTGTTTCTATTACCGTATTTTTGTGTCTTACAATTGAATCGAATAATCTTTATTACTATAATTATGTTTATATACAACAAAAATTTTGAAGTGAATTCTTTTATATATCTTATGACATACAGACAGCTCAGACATGATATTTCTTATACAGAGTGTCTGACAATATCATCTGACGAAGAGGAGGAAGGCAAAATTAAAAGATCGGACGGCTCTAGTAACAATATATTTTCAAACGACGCAAGTAATAATTTTAGTGAAGAAATGGAAACCATTCTTGAGAAGGAACCCGTAATTACGAACAATTCTATTTCTAGCGTGAGTTCTGATTATGCTATGGAGAGTGAAGATATTAAAGGTATCTTGCAATATGCTTCATATTTTACGTATTTTACATATGTATATGACTTCTATAAAATACGTTGATTCCAATTTATTGCATTTTGAATGTAATTATATATAAAATGAGAAAACGTGAAAATAAATATTTTCAGATAATTCTCTTCAATCTCCACATACTTCTTTGTTGTGTCGAACAGTAAGGATAGGATCTTATAAATATGTTCCTCGAGAGAGAGTCATAATCTCGCAAACTGGAGTAAGATTTGGTGTACCCCTATTAGAAGATGGTAATCCTTTACTAATTATTATATGTTCATAATTATATGTTATTTTGATAGGTATTTGTCATATAAAAGTATTCGCGCATTTTTGTTGCAGATAAAACTTTCGTAGCATTAGAAGTTAAAATCCAAGATATAGTAAAAGTGCTAATTCATTTTGGTAAAGCAATGCCAGTGCTTTTCTTTTATACATCTACTAATACTGGAGCTATGATTCGCGAATTATTAGGAATGCAGGATCCAAAAGGGCCATATTATGATCCTGCTGGAAAAGGTATCAACTTTAAAATATATTATACTTTATAATATATTTTACATATATATATATAATTATAATATATATATAATTATAAATGAAATGAGAATGTTAACATTTTTACAGATCATACACATAAACGTATAACTTTACTACCAGAGAAATTATCCGAAGAATCGAAAGTTGTGCTAAAATCTTTGTTTTCGCGAAGACGCTTGTTAGAAGAATTAAGCTCAAAGGAGGCAAATGATATCCTTGTACGAGCATCGCCGAAAGATGTGAGTAATATATGTTATTGATAAGTATGTAAAATTACTATCTCTCAAATATAATTCGCCTTCTTTCAGAAGCTAAAAATACAAAGCTCATCTAAAAAAGAAAACCAAACTGGAACAACAACTAATTCAAATGTCAATGGCGGTATACAGACGTAAGAAACAAATTTAATTACAGAATTAGAATAAATAATCATATTTATACTATTTTCTTTTTTTTCTTCTTATTTTACTTGGGAATGAGTTGATGGTAACAATTAATATTTTAAATTGAAACTTACACTTTTTATTATATTTACAGTTTCTATAACTAATTTTGAAACTTCTTCATTCTCGGGATATTTTTCAAAGCTAGTCAAATAAATGTTAACATAATCTGTTTCTTCTTATATTCTCCACTTTTGTTTGAAATATTTCCTTTTTACAATTAACAGTTTTCACTTTTCGTATAATGTACGATTTGTTATTTACAGAATAACTGTATATCCTCCACCACCTGCAAAAGGCGGTATAGCGATTAACACTGAAGATTATTTATGTCTTGGGGAGGATCAGTTTTTAAACGATGTAATTATAGACTTCTATCTAAAATATTTGACACTGGAGGTTTTATCAGAATCTGATCAACATAGAACTCATGTATTCAGTTCATATTTTTATAAACGATTAACAAGTCCACATGCTCAAGCAGGTGAAAGTAATGTACCTCTTTCACCCGCTGCCAAGAGACATGCAAGAGTACAAAAGTGGACGAAAAACGTTAACATATTTGAAAAAGATTTCATTATAATTCCTATAAATGAACAGTAAGTACTTATCTTTCTCAAATGCTCAATTCTGTTTTTATGTCTCTATTTAATCTAAAATATTTCCAAGTGACACTTGTTATATAAAATAATATTACAGTGCCCATTGGTTTTTGGCTATTATTTGTTTCCCTGGTTTGGTGGGTAAAGTTTTTGCACAGCCAAAACGATGTGATGAAAATGATGTTCGCAAGACTGTACAAAAAAGTAAAAAATTAAAGGAAGTAAAACTACAAGCTGTCACGATTGGAAGTACGACTCTCAAACCAGTGACAACTACTGTGACTATAGATCAAGGTGATGATGGTTCAGAAAGAGACGAAGCTGAAGGCGATGACGAAGAAATGGAGATGGATAGCGAAGATGATGTAAGTGTGCCGCAAACAAAGTTGTTTTTTAATATAGATTATAATAAATTATAAATGTATCAAAGTATATGCTATTGGCAATTTCTAATGTAGGATGAATCAGAAAACGCAGAAAATAAAGGTTTATCTCCAAATGTCGAACCAAATATACAGCAGGAGAAAGAGACTATAAAAGTGTAAGTATTTGCATATACTTTTAAAACAAGTGACGTTCCAAATAGGATACTATATTTATTCATATTTTTATTTTATTTTTTATAGACCCTGCATATTAATATTTGACTCTCTTGCGGGGGCAAGTAGAGCACGTGTAGTAGCTACATTAAGAGATTACTTAAGCTGTGAGTATGTTGCAAAAATGGGAAATGAGAAAGTGTTTTCAAAAGATACTATTAAAGGAGCATCGTTGAAAGTTCCTCAGCAATCAAATTTCACTGATTGCGGATTATATGTATTACAATACGTAGAGAGCTTCTTTAAAGTAGGTTTATTTTTTTAGTTTATATCATTGGTATAATTGGTAGACGAGGTAGCATTATAAATTGTACAATAATAAATTTTTTTTCCAGAATCCCATTAAAGATTATACATTGCCAATAAAGACACTGAAAAATTGGTTTGAGGAAATAGTAGTAACAAGGAAAAGGGAAGAACTCTCTAAACTATTGATTAAATTAATGATTGCAGGAAAAGGAGATAGAAATATAACAATACCAACTGTAAATTTTCCCACACAAGATGGTAAACTAAAAACTAAGGCTGAGAATCATGTTGATATAAAATCTGTGAAAACAGATGTTGAAGATAAGAAAAAGCCTATACTAGATGGGGAAAATCGTATTAGTAATAATATACCAAATCAAACAGAAAATACAGAACCAACTACTGAGGTAGTTAGTAGAACTACATACCAGATCATTCCGTATTCTCCATGTACAAGTTCTAGTTCATCTGAAAGTAATTCAACAGAAATGTTTACTGAGACTAAGACTCCACATCCAAGGTAAATACAAAATTTTACAATTTAACCTATTGTTAAATACAAATTATTCTGCGATAAAACCGACAAACTTTAATTAATTAATTTTTATTGTAGATCATCAAGCGAAACAATGTCCTACTTAAAGTCAAAACGGATTTCCAGGTTAATGATAAAAACTGAGAATCAAGATGATTCTCAAGCGGCCAAAAAGCACAAAGGAGAGTCATTTGATTCTTGTAAATAAATGTTACTTTCTTTTTTATAATGATAAAGTTAGTCCACACTCATAAATAAACATGGAATCATTTACCTATGTAATAAATGTAGTTAATACTTCATAAAACGAATAAAAACATCCAATCATAACTGTATAAACTGAAAGTTTTATTTGCTTTTATAACGATTACTTTTGTGTTCATCAGAAATAGACAATCGTATTATAAAATTTATTTATCATTTGCACTTTAAAGACATTTTTGTAATCTCGAGTAGTCAAAACAATTATTACTTTAAATATGTAGAACTAAGTATTTAGTTGATTGTTTGAGCGTTAAATCCATACGTCCTTTCGGGCATACCGGTTTTATTTCGTTACAATTCAGGTCAACTAACTGTATAAATGTCATTATGGTGTAGAATTTACTGCATTCAGTAGTCTGAATTGTTTGGAAACAAACGAATGTTATGGAATTAGAAATTTATAACTGATCAGATCAAATTATTCTTTAAAGGTTGTAATACAAACACAATTTGTAAGCATTAAATTTACATTGTTGTAAGCATGAATGAAAGATTTATAATTTATTCTTCTACACGTGTACATAAATTTGCTTTTCGATTTTTGAAATACGAATCAAAGTAACGATATGAACAAGTAAATTGAATAAATAAAATGAATGAAATGCTTCTAGTTAGTTGCAAAATAATTGAATAATACTTGGTGACAGGTATAACTCTTATTCATATTTACGAAAAATTGTCTGTTCAGTTTCGTCATAAGATTATTTTGAAACATATTCGATATCTAACGTGATGCGGATGTACAACCAGGTAATTTGGGAGACCAGCTATTTAAAGCTACGCGACATATTCACACAAATATATTCAATTACACTCGATGGTTTTAAATAACAGCTAAGCAAAATCTTGCTGTGCGCGAAAGAAAGGAAGAGATCGAGAAATAGATTTACAAGCATTGTGTGAATGTTTGCTCGGGAAGAGATGAGAAAAGCTAATGAAATTTGGTGGTAAATATGTAAGTTTATATTACGTTCACGAGAATCACTTGAAACCATAGTTTGTTGCAATGCTGTTTTGCGTAATATTTTGCTGTTGCATAATGTTCCTATATTTTGTATATACATACATGTATTATAATGTTAATGTGTAATAACTTACAAACTTAAAGTTAACTATACTTTGATGCTAAATATATTATTTTTCTAGACCAGAATACATGTAACAATATACTCGCGCATTGTTACTGTAAGAGTACGATTAAATTATTTTGGTAGATTGTTTTTAACAATTTTTTTAGTGTACGAAATATTGACAATAATTGCATTATGATTTCTTGTTATGCTTGTAGTTTGGGCCACGATATAGGCAGCCTGGATTAAAAGTATTCGTATAATATGAACGTGAAAATTGGGAAGACTGTGTTCTTTATGTTAATAATTACATTGATATACAGATGATCGCACGTTATACATCAATGTTAACAGTAATAAATATAACAAAATAAAAGAGTTAACTGCGGTACTTCGTAACATATGACAATCGAAAATTCACATAAGGGAAAAAAGTATTCGTACATTACGATAGATTATCAATTTATATTACAATTAATATTAATATTCCACGAATAATCGTTTGCATTCTATTTATCATGAAGTGTATTAAGTTTTTAACAAAATTTACTGATATTTTACTCCATTGTTCTCGCAGAGCCTCTTCAAGATATTTGTTTGGTTTCATATGGTGTTTTGTTATTCTTTTTCCGAATTCCCACTATATGTGCTCAAGTTTTAAGCTCGACGATTACGGTCGTATAGGTAATGTATGGGGTGCACTATACCAGCAGTCATTGACATATATAAACATTTATTCATGATTTTGTAATTTTGTTTTTTTTTTTTTAGTTTCCGTTTTACGATATCGAACTTGTGCATACTATATTCGATCAACACCATGGCTGCAACGATAATCGCTTTGGCAGTTTCTACACTGTATATTGTATTTACAAGTCTCATAGCTTACTGGATGAGAAGATATACCAACTATTATATACAGGATCCGTTTGTAAGGTCCCTATTTTTAGAAGGTATTGCTACCGGTGAACTTTGCGGAGCATGTTTCGAATTAATAATAAGTAAGTTTACCGAATTTATCGTCAATAATTTCTAATTGATAACTCTATAAATTTTACAAAATTTGATACGAAATTTATTTAACTAATAATGTTTTTACTTATGTACATGTATATGTATATATATATCGAATTTTATTCTTTTCTTTTTTTTTTTTTTATATGTACCTGTAACAGCTAATATTTTTTAATGGGATACTATGTACAATTACAATTCTATCAACGTCAAATTATAAGAACGTTATATTTTTTCTGTATAAATTTTTCAGTACATATTCTCTGTTTTAATTATAATGTACCTTAGTTGCGGATAACTGGGGTGTTTCTATGTACGGCGTATATTTATTCGTACTGACGATTTGGTGGTCTATGAATTGGGAAGACGCTACCGCTTGTCCCTACACGCACATCGAAGACGTTGTCAATGGAACGAAGTCAGTGCGCGATGCTTTCCTTTTAATATGGGCCGAACTTGTCGGCGGTCTTGCCGTTTTTAGATACGTTCAATTACTTTGGGCACTCGAAATTGTTTCGACGCACAAACACAAAGCATTCGAAGATTGTACTACCGATCTACAAGTAAGTGCGATAATAAATTACAAACTTTTCTTCACTGTTTGTAATAGGCTCGCTTCTTTCGTTCGAAAATGTAACAAAAATAGTCTTTTCGCGATAGTGACGTATGCAAGAACATAAGATAAAAATCATTACATTTTTTGTGAATCTTTAAGACTATTATAATAGCCTCGTTAACGTTAGTACCCTATCGGGATATATGAGATTTAAAAAATCATAGTTTACATAAATTCCAGCGAAAATTATGCGAGCGTCTCTTCTATCTTTAAGGTGCCTGTAATATTTGGAGCATTTATAGAATGCGTGGCAACTTGTATATATAGGGTGGTCTCACGTGGCTTGAGCGAGATAAATTCGAAGATTAGTGTTATTCTTGATTCCTTCGTTGGAACAACTTTGGTTATTGCAGGTTTGATTAATTTATATCACGATTCGTCTTGTAAACAATTTTTTTCATTTATTTACCTACGTTAACCTTTAGTTATTCACATATCCCTTTTAGTTTTCTAATTACAGGGTATCTAAGCTGTATAAAAATAGAAACTCTCATTCGTTTTTGTACATATATTCTTTCGCGGTTTATAAATATTTAGATTTAGATGTTTGATATGACTTTAATAGGTCAACGCAGCAATCGCCTTTAACAAATTAATATAAACTAATAGGAATTAACAGCTGAATCGATCCATATTTTTGAATACATGTACGTACGTTGTATATGTGTATCCTTATATAATATATATTTCTTTATTCACTCTTGAATTCTTTCAACTCTTTTCTTCAAATGTGGAAATTGTATATAAACTTTTCGAACGTAGGGATATGTTTGAATTATTCGAATATTCGAATATATTCGGATCGTAAATATAATCCTTTTCGTGTTCAAATATATAATAATGTAAGTTTTCCATCGAAAATTGTCTGCTTCGATCATTCGAAGAAATTTTTCTCATCGAGCAATAATAAGTACGAACATAACAACACTTTAAAGTCCTTTGAATTATTACATTTTTTATTATTTTTACAGATGTTTGTTTCCCCAGAAACGATTAAAAATTCGCTTGGAATAACTCGAATAACGCTTAGTTTTTTTTCACATTTCCAATATTTCTTTTATTTTCGTTTGTTTTTTCTTCTTATTTCGAGAAAAGTTTCTTTACGATTTCACCTCACTACGATCCTTCCACCTTAATAAATCTGGCATCTTAAAGAAAACATATTCACATAAACACTTTTCGCAATTTAAGAACTGAAAATGTTTGCGAGTAATCGAATCTGTTCGTTGCAAATATTAGATACTCTGTATTATCGTATCATGGCCATAGATTAGACTCTTGTTTTCGATGTGAACACTTGTTGATGATCGTGTTGATACACTCATACTCGATTTATTTTCACGCTGATTTCAGCTTTCGATTATTCCGGCGGCTACTTCAATCCCGCGCTGGCTACCTCCTTGAAATACGGATGTTTAGGAACTTCCTTTATGGAGCACGTGATAGTCTATTGGGTGGGTGCGTGTGCGGGTTCCATCGCCTCTTTACGAGTATATAGGCTACCGTTTGTTCAACGGTATGTGGAACAATATAAAGAGAAAACGCTTTAAGTCACCGACAGTGAAACATCGGGTCGTTGCACGAGTTTGTTGGTTTTCTGTTTGCCCGACTTTCCCGTTGTTTGTTTTATCTTATTCCCTGTTTTCTGTCTGAGTTACCGTTCTACGAAGTAACGTCTAAGTTTATACATACTTGTATCGAGTCTCTCAGATTGTTACAATATTTGCGCACAAACAATTTCTCGAAAGCGGTCACCCTCCTCGCACGTTTACAAAGTAGGAACATTTTTAGATATTGTAGGGTGATGATAGTGCTACGATGATTTGAATTGAAATTAGTGTAAAATTATCCATAGCGAGCGATGCGTGTAATTAGCATAATGTATCATGACTGTATAATAAAAGTACAAATAAAAGTTTTGCGAATAAATTGGAAATATTACATTCTGAGATATTTAGCAAAGCGACGGTATATGTGTTAGACTTTTAAAGAATTTAAAGACTTGAAACGCAATAATCTCACAACGGCTTACAATAGTAAGCAAAATTTAGTCATAATTGCAATAAATATAGTATCGGAAAAGAAATTGTTTGACTTACAACTGTAAGAATATTAAATGTTAAAAGTTAATGTAAACCCTACGTGATATATATCGTATAATTTCGAAACTTAGAGGTATATATAGTTCGTAATAATTATCCTTTATAAAAGAATACGAAACGAGTCACACATCCGTGAATTATATGTAAATGTTATTACAAAATGTAACAGTGCATAAAGAGAAAGAAAAAATTGAAAGATTTAATAAATTCTACAATAGTGCCAAGATATGTATATCGAGTAAGTATGGGTAGAAAATATGTTTTTAAATTAAGTATAAACTTTCAAGTAGAAAATTTCCAGATCGAATAATTATACAAAGAATTCTGTTTTAGACGACATGTCCAAGTGAATTGCTTCATTCTTGTACATTTCAATGGTCTGTAACAAAACGATAATTTTGTAAGTATTATCAGCTACTAGAAAAAAAAAAAACGAGTTTGACACGTTGGTGAAAAAGTACGAAAATAAATATGCGTCACTCACACGCGATATCAACGATTGATTTAGAAGAAAGATACGCAATTCATCGATTATCTTGTTCTTATGATCATAAAAAATTAAGAAGTCAGTTTTTAAAGTAAAATTATGAAGCATTACCGCGTTAATATTGCCATCTAAGTCTGCTACTTGTTTTTCGTGAGAAGCTTTCAATTTTTCTTTTTCACGGCCTTGCTTGATTTGCACAGTTTTCCTTTCTTGCATAAATTTCTTCGTATTTTGTTCCTTCTTCTCACGAAGTCGACGATCCTTGTCTCCTTTTGTCTTTAACGCTTTGTCGTTCATTACTTCTTTAGCCGTTTCCACAGATACTTTTACCTGATTCGCGTTCATATCTTTAATATCTCTGAGAAGAAAGAAAAAGGATATTATTGTAGGAATAGCAATTTTGGACAACTAGTTGCATTACTAGTTGCGAGTTTCAAGTAAAGTAAGAGTGCAAAGGTAGTTGTCGCCTAAACTTTCCGATGAACGTAAAAAACAAAAATTGATTGCAAAATGTACGGACAATGTGTAGCTGAATTGTTTTGTATTGTGCTGTACTGTTGCAGTTTACAGTTGTTTTAGTATATCGAATCGTACGTTTACTTCGGTGTTGAAACTGCTTCACACCCCTACCTTTCATCATCCCGAAAATTATATTACCCGACGGTAAGGAATAATTTTATAAATCAACTATTACATGTCAAGTACAAACTTTGTTCAATTTTACGTATGTTTGAACATTTTTAATTTTACGATAATTTAAGAAGTTTCTATTTTTCATTCTTCAAGCCAAAATTATATGTGAGAAGCGAACGAATAAAAATACTAAAGAGAAATTAGAAATAGAATCTACACACTTGTCATGTTTTGCCTGTAACTGTTTAACCTGAGAGGCCTGTACAATTTCGATTAATTTTTTGAATTCCTCCCGACCGGCCTCCGTCTGATTCTTCAACATCTCCCATTCCTCTTTTCGTTGCCGTTCTACCATGGCGGACCATTGCGCGGTTTGTTCGCTTATAACTTTTTTCACGTTCGCGTCCTGGAGCAGCGCGCCTTTACTGTAAATGCGAGATTTGTCATTGCCACGTGGGATTAAGTAATTTCTAGTTAGCGAAAGTAATGTTTTAGTACACTACGTACTCCTTTCCCTTCACCAATTTATCAATGGCAGCGCAATGATTTTTTTGCATTGTCTGTCGTTCCTTCAGATGCTTCTTTCTCATTGTATCCAGATCCTTCTGTTGTTTTTTCCCCAGTTTGTACGCTTTCTCCTTCTTTAGCGTGTCTATCGTAATTGGCTCTGGCTTCCATTCCTCTAAAAATTTGATAACCGACAAATATTTTATAATTATATATAAATATGGTATCATATAGTCTCACGGTTTATTACACAGAATTAACTTACAATTGTTGCCTTAATAAAAATATTTCTCAATTCGTTAGAAAACTTTTACAAACTGATTAACATCTTAATAAAACTAACAGTTCGAGCAAACAATTTAATTCCGGGAGCGTTTAAAAATGTTTGCCGGCGACAATTTCAAATAATGGCACATTAAACGTTCGTTTTCCGTTTTAAGTTTTATGAATGAAAACTTGAAAAAGAGGGTATACCCTTTTTAGCCTTTTCCTCTTCTTTCTTCTTCGCCTCGGCCTTCGTGTCGGTTTGCTCGATTCCTAGTCCCTTCATAGTTTCGGCTTGCTTCTCTGCTCCTTTGCTGAATCCACCCGGATCAGACAAGGCTGCCATGAAGTCTACAAGTCGAGAAAGCGGACTCGCATCAGAGGCATCGTCATACACTTCTATTTTTGCTCGGCGAACTTGCTCAAGAGATTACCTTCGAATCCATCGGGTACGTAAATCTTTAGCTCGATGTTACAGAACAACATCGGCAGTGCCATGGGAAAATTCGCCTCGGTTTTCAACGAAATATGTCTATATCCAGCTTGAAGGCCGTCCAATGGTAAAATTCGTTGACCCAACAATTTTCCGCTCTCTTCGTATACACCTATGCGAACAACGAATGTCAATTTATGTCGCTGTTGCAGCGTGAAATTGCATTCTTTGAATCGGTGAAAATGTTTAATAGAACGCCGATAGAGTTGGAAACTAACTAATTAAAGACTAATTTATTTTTTGGAAACAATGATTCTTCTATAGATTAAAGGAACGATAGATGAATTTATTAAAAATTTATATGCATTAATATAAATCTGTTAAAATGATTAGAGTCATAAAATTACCAAATCTGAGTACAGCCAAGTCGGGAAGTACAACTTTACGAAATAGAAACGGTTCTTCGTTATAAACTGGATTCAATCCGTTCCCAGGAACCATTCGTGTTCGAAATTCTTTCTTAATTGTATCTGCTGGCAAACCGTACATATCCACTTCAACGTAAGTGCCGACCTTTTTGTCGGACAAGAATTGTCCTGCTATTACCTGACAAGTAGAATTTATCAACGATTAAACTTTTATTCCATCACTCGATTTACTTAACTAATAATGTGTATTATTATTGATTAGTTTATATTATTATTTTAAAGGCGATTAAATTTTTTAATCCGACTTTTAATATCGGTATTAACGATACAGGCAACAGTCGATCGATAATACTTAATAAAATGTTACTCGTATCGTTACTATAATTGCTTGTACATAGTAAAATTAAATTTTTATTCGAATAAAAGAAATCGTTTCACAAATACCCTGCAAAAATATTCTGACAAAATAAAATGTTGCATATGCAAAGTTTACTTGAACGGAACATTGAGCTGTGATAACACCGTCTACGTCCTCGGAGAATGGATCGAAAATTTTATCCGACCTTCTCATAAAATCAGGCTTTAGTAGATACCCAGTTGTTGCGTTATACTCGAATTTTCCTTGATTTAATTGCATAGGCAAATCGGGCGTTTGAAAATTTAACGCAACCATTTGACAGCCAGCGTTCCAAAAGACCTAAACAAATACAAACCTGATTGATGTACCGAATAATATCAATTTTTCCTAGCTATAATTAACGACTTACTTGTGGCATGTAATTCGACGAATCAGCCCTCGTACCTTTTGGGTAAATTCGACTCATCTGACGTTTGTTGTAATTAACAAACTCCACCGCATTCGTTTTCAGGTAGTTGAGTGCCGCAGTCTCCGAAAACGAGGACATATTATGATGTATGTTCTTTTCTGCAACAATAATAGCGCTTATATATCTCAATAGCGAATAACGATATATCATTGTAATTGTTACGTGTATGTTGCATAACCGATTTTACCTAATATTAGATCCAAACTCGTAATGCAGATTACATTTTAGTTTTACTTATTAATTTTACTTACTTACTGCATAATAGTCTTTCGTGATAAATATATTATCATAAAAATTCCCATAGTACTAAAGTATAAAATTAAAATAAAAATACAAATACGAGAATCAATGATACTATTCGTTTGTTGATACAAGATATGGCGAATGCGATGATAAATCGTATGCACATACATAAATCGTACTTACTTTATCAAAAGGCTGAAATATGAATATAACGCTTGTATGTTAATATAAATGAAAAGAAAGCACGCTTTACATACTTTCCGCAGTTTCGAAACTTTGAAATTTCACTGGCTGTGCGTAATTAATCATAGAAGAGAGCCATGGATGACACGCCATCGTACTGCCGGTATATTGAACTGGAGGCGCTTCTCCTTCAGCACCCCCTTCACCTGGTGCAGCACCTTCAGCTGGTGCAGCTTCGGGTGGTGGTTCCTCCTAAAATGTTATCAAGATTTTGTTTTCAAAAAAAAGACGTGCTGTATGACATGGCTGTGCGGTACGCTAATAATTTAGGAACATGATTTTCAGAAGAAAATTTTCTAAATAAAATCTGGTAAATTTTAAATAAATTATATCTTAGTTATATTCTAATAGAGGTGGAAGGAAATTTTTAAATAAGCGATAAACATAGTCATAGAGACACCTTTGGCGGTTCCGGTGGTCCAGAAGGTGCGCTGGGATCCTCCACTACTTCGTCTTTCGCCTCGAATTGCCCGGAGCGGAATAACTCGAGCTCCACCTTTTCTACCTCCGGTTTCAGTCTTTTATTCTTGATTAATATCTTTCGCTTCAGTGCACTTGGTGGTGGAAGTGGATGCCCGGGTTCAAGCTGTGCCATTTTATTTACGATTACAAAATAAACGTATTTCTCGCGGGACATTCATCCGTGCGATAAGCACGCTTCTCATATTTTCATTTGATCTGTTCCCTCTGAATCGGGCAAACTCGTATTTTCCAGCGGGCGTGTTAAAAATTTATAAAATTCTGCTGCTACTATTACTTGTCCGTTCGCGAGGA